CGCTCCTTTAGTTAATTTTAGTTATTTTTTCCAACGAATATAATAATATTTCTTGAGCCTTTTAACTGCATAGTTTACCACTGAATTCTACATAGCAGTTTTTATGTTTAAATCTCTATATGTACTATAACAAGAGAAAATTCTGGTTCATCCATTCAATTTTCTTGGAATTGTAGGTATAGTAACTCCTGCTGTACTCTCCAGAAAAAATATAGAAACAAACACTCCTTGCCTCAAGAGGTAACTGGCGATATTAAAGAAAGACTAGCATCTAATGGACCAAATTTAGCAGGAGTTAGTAATCTAAGTGTTCCCCTCTCATACTCTGCTGTTGCTTCCCTGTGCACAGACATGGCAGGCCTTGAGCTCCTGGTTTCTACATGGGAATCAGACCTTGTAAACCTTGGCAAATGTCAGTCACTCTTCTTTCTACCCCCAGATTCTCCAACGTAATTTGTAAGTTATCTTCAGTCAATGCAACTGGAGAGAATGAAAAACTCACCCTATCTTAAAATTCAAGCCTCATTTCTAACTTTAATCTTTATCAGGGAGCCCTTTATTCAGAGAGTCATTTTAGTGGACATTAATAAAGCTGATAAGCTGATTCAAAATAGGCTTTATTCTATGAGCTAGGACTCTGAAGGGAAACAGGAATTCCTGACTTCCCAAACATAATCTCCCCAATTTGTTAGAAACTCCTTGTTCTCGATTGTTTTTTATTAGACAAAGTCTCACTCTGTAGCCCAGGCTGGAGTGCAGTGGTGCGATCTTGGCTCACTGCAGCCCCCACCTCCCAGGCTCAAGTGATTCTCAAGCCTTAGCTTTCAGAGTACCTGGGATTAAGGGTGTGCGCCACTATGCCCGGCTAATTTTTGTATTTTTTAATAGAGATGGGGTTTCATCCTGTTAGCCAAGCTGGTCTTGAACTCCTGAACTCAAGTGATCCACCCACCTGGGCCTCCCAAAGTGCTGGGATTACTGGCGTGAGCCACCCTGCCAGGCCCTTTTATGTGTTTGTGGTTTATCTTTATCCTAAGTACACTATCCAGCAAATTGCATGTTCTTGTTTCATAGTTTGAAAAAAGAGATGCAGTCTGGGTCAAAAGCAACTGTAAAGGCCTCAACTGCCTAATTTTACAGGTCTTCTTCCTAATGTTCCTCTAGTCACATAAAATATCTTCTTTCTATAAACTTGTTCCTTTCTGCTAGCTTCTTTAACCTTTAACAAAAATTTCCTCTCCCTCAACAGTGTTTCATAGGCTTCTGCTTATTCATTTCATCCGTTTGATCATTATCTTTTGTTTTTCTTTTTTTTTTTTTTTTTGAGACAAAGTCTCACTCTGTCGCCCAGGCTGGAGTGCAGTGGCGCAATCTCTGCTCACTGCAACCTCCACCTCCCAGGTTCTAGTGATTCTCTTGCCTCAGCCTCCCAAGTAGCTGGGATTACAGGCACCTGCCACCACGCCAGGCTAATTTTTTTGTATTTTTAGTAGAGACAGTGTTTCACCATGTTGGCCAGGTTGGTCTCAACCTCCTGACCTCAGGTGATCCACCCATCTCGGCCTCCCAAAGTGTTGTGATCACAGGCATGAGTCACCACACCCAGCCCATTTGATCATGATCTTTAATGGTTCTTTCTCCAGCTCATCACTTTTCAATTCCTTCCCTGAGGCAAACTGCCAGATTATCTCAGTATTTCCAGTTCAGACTCAGGAAGTGGGAAATCTTACCAGCCCAGCTCATCCCTTCATGCCGCACCACATCATAGATCCCCAGAAGCCTGGGAAAGCACAAAGGCACAGGGTAAGTCAAGTGTCTGTCCCCAGGCCCACCTTCTCCATTTGGCCACCTCAACAACAGCTCAAAATTAACAAGTTGAATTCTTGATCCGCACTCCCATCTTGATTCTCTTCCCCATCTCAGCAATGTGTACCACCATCTGCCAAGTAGTTCAGCCTGATGTGGTATCCTTAGTTCCTCCTTTTCCCTCATCACCCCACGCAAGCACTCTCATCCATCAACTCTCATCAGTTCTTTCTCTAAAGAAGATACTAAATCCATCTTCATTTCCATGAACACCACCTTAATCCTGGATACTGCTATTTCTTCTCTGGATTACTACAACAGCCTTCTAACAGCTTCCTAACTACTTGTGGCACTTCCCCTTCTTTCCATTATTCAATTCATATTCTACACAGCAGAGGTAATGATCTTAAAATATAAATACAATCACACAGATCCCTCACTCAAAATCCTTCAGTAGCTTCCTATTTCTCTTAGAATAAGATCCAGTCTTTTCCCTGTCTGACACAGCTTTTGATGATCTGATTCCGGTTAATCTCTGAAACCTCATCTTGCAGTATTTTTCCACACTCACAATGTTCCAGCCACACCTGCCTTGCTTCAGTGACTCAGGATCCTTGAGTTCTTTTCTGCCTCAGGGCCTTTGCACATGCCTCTGCTTGCTTGGTGTCCACCCCCCCCCACTCTCTCACTTGCTTTAGGTCCCAGCTGAAATGTGATTTCCTCAGAGAGGACTGGCCACTCTAACCAAAGGGAATCTTCCCCAACTTGCAGCTCTTTATTTTATCCCCTATGTCTTCATATTTTTGCCCACCTCTCTAAATTATTGCGGGGAAAACTACAAAAAACACACAAAAAAGCAAAAGCTAAAAAGGGAGGCACAAAAGAAAAAAAAAAACCTTAAAGCAAACGGAGAAAAAGACAAGAAATTAAGAGGAAATAGGCATGAAAGTATTAGCATTTATGAAAAAATAAGTTTATAAAATTTTTAAATAAGTGTAAATGTTATATACCCCCAAAGCAAACATTCTTACTACTTATTTCTAAGTCTTAGATAATTTTTTCTAACTTCACCTTCAAGATAAGTCATCCTTTCTTGAATTCCAGTAAGTACAATATTCACTAGTGTAAGAATTTATCAAAATGAAGGCTCAAAATGAGTTAGAAACATTTGAAAAAGTCATTATAGCCCCTAGAAGAGTCTAATGCTTCTTTTCTCTTTGTAAGTTTGCATAGCAAGGATCTAAGACAAGTTTTAAAATAAAACAACACTCTTTTAGGACCATGTGTACATGAGGCATCATTTCTCCACAATAGCCTGGCCCTCTCGCCTCCCTTTGTCCTCCGCAATGCCTCTTTGTAAATCACAGGTGTTTGTGGGCATAAAGCCCATCAGAAGGGAGTTTATTGTGAAGAGTTCTTTCTTTGCCACTTGTTCTAAACCTGTTCAGAGAGTGCTCCATGCCTTAGACCAAATCTCCATAAAAATCAAGAAACAAGAAGTTTTCTGTATGCCTGCCCAACAGCCACACTATGACATTAGTTTCGACAGCTCTGTGACCCCGTATTGTCCCAACTTTATTCACTAGTCTTTTTTTCTCTTTCTCTCTCCACTCCTTTTTTTAAGCCTTTATTGGCATTTTTTATCTACTGTAAAATAAAAAGGAGGAGGATGGGCGTTGTTTTTTTTTTTTTCTAAGTATTCTATGTGGCAGATAAAGAAAAACACTATCTGCAGTTACTGTAGTAATGGTTTCAAAAAACACCTGCAAATCAAAGAAAGACACCACGGCAGTGTCTTCAGATTTTTTTTTCTTCTCTTAAAGTTCCTTCTTGGCCATTATAGAGTAGGCCCGGCAATGAATTTATGTGACAGCTATGAAGTTAGTATTAAAATTGTGAATAGTGCCTAGCAGTTTTCATGCCCTTAGTATAAGATCGCCTCAATTTGCCACACAGCGGTGAATAGGGTAAAGAAGGGAGGGGGTGTCGAATGAATGAGAGGAGGAGGTTATGTGAATGGGAGAGTTTCCCGGGAGGGGGCAGCACAGTTGTCACGGGGAGAAGAGTGATTTATTTTTGAAATTCCAGAATGGAAGACCAAAAGAAATTGCCTAAAAGATCCTGAAGCGCGGAGGTGGGGGTGGGGGGGTGAGATAAATAATATGTCTACACACATTTAGCAAGTGTCAAGGCCAGCTCTAGAAGTAGGGACGGGGTGGGGGCGGCGGTGGTAAATCCATTCCTCTGGTCTTCCAAGATTCAATATTAAATGCCAGCAGGGAGCAGATGTGGGCAGGGGCTGCAGAATAGGGGTAGGGAGCGCGGAAGGAGGGGTTAAGCGTTTATCTCAATAGAAATTAACCACTTGGGGAGAATTAGGAGCGAGCTGCAGCGGGCGGGGGAAGTGGGGGGAGAAGCGGGACAGGGAGAGCGTCTCCCGGTGTAAAGAAAGGAACTTTCCTGGTGCGGAGATCTGGGCAGGGCATTCAGTAAAATGAGGTGAGCAGGGCTGCAAAGAGCAAGGCGGGGCGTGCCCTCCACCGCCCCCCGCCGCTCCGCCCGGCCCCTCCGCTGTCCGGCCCCTCCTCACACCCCTCCCCCTGTCCGTATTAGCATGCGGGCGGCGGCGGGCCGGCCGGGCTGGGAGGGCGGCGGTGGCAACGCCGCGCGGGGCGCATTGTGGGCCGCGCTCGCCTCCGCGGGGGACCATCTGCTCGCTGTCAATGCATCACCTGCTCGTCTGGGCCGTCGCCTGGGCAACGGGGGGCGGGGGATTAAGGAGCGTGTGCGTCTGGGTCCGGGCCGAGGCGGCGGGATGGGGGTTGGGGCGGGGCGAAGCGCTCCTCGGCCCCTCACCCCTCTGCCCCAGGACGGCTCGACCCGCTCAGCGGGGCGGCGACCACCGCGGCTCCGCCGCTCGCCGCCGCTCCTCGGCCTTTGCTCCCCGGCTGCCTCTTCTCGCGGGAGCGGCTGGAGTCGCGGGTAGGAGCAGAGAGCAAAGGGTCCGGCCCTGCCTCACCCTGCCAGGAGGCGAGTCCCGCGCTCCCCGCGTCTACCTGGAGCTGCAAGGGCCCTGCCCCGACGCGCTGCACGCAGCCTCCTCCGAGGGAGCTGGCGCATTCTGCTGGGTTCTGGGGACGCGGCGCAGCGCGGTTCTGAGTGCCCCGCAGTCGCCGGGCAACCACAATGGGGCAGCCTCGCCGCGAGACCCTCCCCCGCGCCTGCCACCAAAGTCACAGAAAACTTTCACACCTCTCATCTGACACTGTGGTCTGTCCGAGACGCCAAGCACTGGGGAAGTCTTCAACGTCAGAATATGGGTGGCGCCTGTTCTTCAGGGGGCGGGCAGGGGGAGCCCAGTGTTTATCAAAACGGGTTGATTTTCCACGGAACTACGGAGGGGGTAGTTCTGGAGGTAATAAACCCCAGAAATCCTGAAATTCCCCTTCCACCTGCTGGTCTTCATGGAATTCTAAACCATTTTCAATAGAAGAGAAGCCCATCCAGGAGTAATGCAAGCCAACGGCAGGGGGCAGAGCGAGGCTGTAGATGGGGACGGTGGCCATTTGGGGACACTTTTAATCCAAAGTCATGCTCTCTGATTTAGAAACTTTAGAGCAATTTTTTCTCTGCTCTTCCCCGTCTCTATCCCCGACTGGCCAAGGACATTTAGCTGCTCCAACAAAAGTCGTTCTAATGTTCCCGAAGAGTCTACGTGGCTCAACAATGGAGTAGTTAATACCCCCACCCCCTGCCCATAAGCTGTCCATAGACTGCACAGAACCAATGAGTTGTTGAGGTTTCATCACAACCCGTAATATATAAATATTTTTTCTGGGCTAGCTAAATTACTGGATACTCTTCTGCAGAATCACAGGTTCAGCAGTAAATGGACACCCTCCCCCCCCAAACCCACATCTAAAATATCTCTAGCCAGGAAAAATCCCGGCTTGTTTCTTGTTAGGTCTCATTAAAAGGTCTGGCAACTCTTGGGAAACCAACGGTCTTCTCTGATTTAGCAACTCAAACCCATTTTCTGCATTTCTTTAAAAAAAAAAATGTAAGTTTGTGGTATGGACCCTATGTTCATCTTTTCCAGCTAAAATCTCGTGATCATCGAGTAGAATTTGTCATCCTTTTATAATTTCTAGATATGAACACCATGAATCAGGCTAATTTTATGATTAAAATGCAATTTTTTAAATTTTCTATGATCAAACAGAAAATACAGTTCCACTAATGTATCATTTTTTTTCATTCATATGCAAGAGAGAAAAGTTAACTATCAAAATATCCATAGCTTTAACACAATAGATGAAGGGTAAAAGGTTTGTATGTATAAACTTGCTCCAAAGATAAAATTCTACCCACCCCTTTACTTTATGACTTCCATAAATTAAATTTGAGAGTTCTAAGAAGATGTGCCCTTTGATCTACAAGGCACTCCTAAATACATACAGTCATGGTATCATTCCAATTTAGAGAAGGGATGAGCTTGAGTCCAACCCTCCTGTCTATAGATAAGGGAGTGAGCCCCAAAATAGTAAGTGACTGGCCCAAAACTGTACTGCTAGTGGCTAGGGATGCCCAGTGCTCTCTTACCCCCAACAACATCACAGAGGTGCAGCTTTGCACACCAACAGCCCCTGAAAATGCCCTTTGTCTACACTCTTACCACTCCTACAGCCGCTTGCTTCACTACAGAAACAAGAAATCTTCATCAATTTCAGCAAATAATCCTTGCGTACCTACCATGTGTCAGGCAAAATAGACAAAGATCCCCATCCCTGTAGAGCTCACTCTTTAGTGGTGCAAACAAATTTAAAAAGAAAGAAAAGACCAGGTGCAGTGACTCACACCTGTAATCCCAGCACTTTGGAAGGCCGAGGCAGGTGGATCACAAGGTCAGGAGATCAAGATAATCCTGGCTAACACGGTGAAACCCTGTCTCTACTAAAAAAATAGAAAAAATTAGCTGGGCTTGGTGGCATGTGCCTGTAATCCCAGCTACTCAGGAGGCTGAGGCAAGAGAATCACTTGAACCCGGGAGGCAGAGGCTGCAGTGAGCACAGATCGCGTCACTGCACTCCAGCCTGGGCAACAGAGACTCTGTCTCATAAAAAGAGAAAAAAGAAAAGAAATACTATTCACTTATTGAACATCTAATCAGCTACTATGAGAGGGAAAAATATATCCACAAATAAGATATGGATATCAACCTTAAAAAGAGAAAAACATACATGAGAATCAGAGCAACATAATCAAATAGAAAATAATGTCAATATGACAAAGTATCATGAAGTACAAAGGAGGCATCAGGTAATTTTGCCTGGGCAATATCATAGAAAAGATGTCACAAGTTTGGCTACATAATAGCAGTCCCTGGCACCTAAACAGGGTATGGCACATAGCAGATGCTCAATAAATAGTTGTTGAATGCACAAATGAATGAAAAAATGAATAACGTATTTCCAAGTAGGCAAAAGGAGGAAGATATTCCAGGCAAAGAAATCACAGTATATGAAAATGTGGTATATATATACAATGGGATATTACTCAGACAAAAAAAGAACAAGAGAATCTCCCCACTTGTGACAACATGGATGAGCCTAGAGGACAGGAGGTTAAATAAACCAGCCACAGAAGGACAAATACTGCATAATCTCACTTATATATGGAACATAAAAAAGTCTAACTCAACCCAAATGCCCAACAATGATAGACAGGATAAAGAAAATATGGCATATATACACCATGGAATACTATGCAGCCATAAAAATAAATGAGATCATGGCCTTTGCAGGTACACGGATGGAGCTGGAAGCCATTATCCTCAGAAAACTAACACTAGAACAGAAAACTAAACACTGCATGTTCTCACTTACAAGTGGAAGCTGTGCAATGAGAACACATGGACACGGAAGGAAACGACATGCACTGGGGCCTGTTGCAGGGCGGGGTAGGGGAAGCAAGAACATTAGGAAAAGTAGCTAATGTATGTGGGGCATAATACCTAGGTGACGGGTTGATAGATGCAGGAAACCACCATGGTACACATTTACCTATGTAACAAACCTGCACATCCTGCACATGTACCCTAGAACTTAAAATAAAAATAAAACTGTTTTTAAAAGTCTAACTCACATGAGCAGAGAGTAGAATGGTGTTTGCTAGAGGTTGGGGAGCGAGGAGGATGGGGAGGGAGGGAAATGGGGAAATGTTAGTCAAAAGGTGTAAACCTTCAGTTATAAGATGAGCAAGCTCTGGTGATCTAATATACATCATGGTGACTAAAATTAATAGTGCTGTATTACATACTTGAAAATGCTAAGACAGTTCTCACCACCACACACCAAAAATGCTAATTATACGAGGTGATGGATGTCCTCATTAGCTTGATCATGGTCATCATTTCACAATGTAGACATATATCAAATCATTACATCGCACACCTCAAATTTATACAGCCTTTATTTGTCAATGATACCACACCAAAACTGGGGAACATTTTTTTGAGGAATGATATCACAGTACGAACAAAGGTTTAGGGGCATCTGTATTTAAGGAGTGATGAGTGAGCCATGAACTGTGAGCAAAACAAAATAATGGAGAAGATTTGGAAAATGGCATGCTGGCTTGGAGGCATGTTGAGAAGGGATTTGACGACCATGGCAAGAATGTGAATTTTGTCCTGAGGCCCAATAGCTTTTCAGCAGCAGCACACTTGTTTTAAGCAGCATCTTGCAAGAAACTCAAATAGGTTAAAACTGATCCATATTGGGCTGTCCTAATAGAAGCAGGGATAGGCCCCTTGCCCTATCCAGGGATGGCTGGGGACTCTATAATGCTCATTGAAACACTGTTTGTACATCAGTACAACTGGCAATGAGTCATCTTTGAACATTATAGGACATAAGAATGTGAGTTTGGAAGGAAAGGGGAAGTCAGGAAGAGCAGTTAGAATGCTACTGAAATTGTCCGAGCACAAAATAATGAGAACTTAAATTAGATCAGTAACATTCAGAGTGAAATGGAAAATAAAGAGATTTTGAAAATAGAATCCTTAACGTACATGGTCTTCCTGCTTCAGAGAACATAATTTTACCTCTGGTACATCTAAGTTTGGATATTTTTTTAAATGACAATATATTACAAACTTCAGCATTTTAACTGTTACTGTGGCTAACACATTCTCACACTTGCAAAAGTTTAGGAAAAACACAAATTCCTTTGCAGCAAACTGCTTAAATGATGGCTCACATGTCAGAGTATAGATCTTGGGATCCTAAGAGAAGCCAATGGAAGATATAGAAAGATAGCAAAAAGAGAAGCATGTTTGAAAGATATCTAATAGTCCTTCCATTTACTAACCAGGCATACGAATTATTGAGCAATGATCAAAGCCATAAGGACCCTTTCCCTACACTCTTTCAAATGTAAGCATTCGAGTGTTTCTCTTAAAAGTTACATAAAATTATTCATTGCCCACTTACAATTAGATACAACTGCCCATTAAAAGCTGCCCCCCCCCCCCCCCGCTCCGCGGCAGGTAGAAGGCGTATGACTTAAGGAATGCATGACACTCCTGGATCGGGTAAAACAAAGATATACTCGTACAAACAAATAAGCTAATAAGAGAGGCAGCAAAAGAGAATGGGAAGCCAGAGAAATTCACATGATGAAGATACCTGGCATTTAGCCAAAAGTGAAAACTATAAATATTAATCAGATGAGAATCAGTGTCACTTTACAGCAAGAATGTTCTGTAATCAAAAGGGTGGGTATTGTGTTGTGCATGTTAGCACAATTGCCACCAAAAATATTGGATGCCAGGGGCTCCCAAGTACTGGAAAGGGACTAGATTCCTAAGGATGCCACTTAGCAGAAAATTTGCTAAATATCAACTGTTTATGTCAAATTCAAATGATACTGCAAAGTAAAGGAAGAAGAAATATCAGGGTTTCAAAATTGTGTTCCTGTCTTTAAAAGACAGGAAAAGAAACCTTCCTTGGACATCTATTATTTGCTAAGTGCTTTCCAGACATTATGCAGAAATTTTGCAGAAAAGGTGTCACCATAATCACATTTCAAAGATGAAGCTGTTCCAAAGTTGGCTTTGTCATCCAAGGTGTGGCTGTGGTTGAGCATGTCTGAAGTGAAGCAGACGTGACATGTCCCTGAAGTTGGTAAAGTCACAAGATTGTGAGACTGCAATGCTTCCGGGATCATCCCTGTGGGCCGATGGGCCTTGGAGTGGATGAAAGGGCAGGGAGGGAGATACTAATGCTCTCATTTGGGTAAATCAGCAGTAAATCTACTCAGTGGTCAGGCAAAGGAGGTTTGGGCAACATAGTGGGCGTGCCAAAAAAAGAGAGGCTAATTGAAGATCAGAGTAGCAATGGTTGGAAGAGGCAAAAGGAGACAAAAGTGTGCTGTTCCCTTTCTTTCCTCTGTTCCTAGACATAGGGATGAGAGAGGATGAACAGCCTCCACTACTGAAGGGGGCAAAATGGTAAATACTCCCACCATGGTGGATTTCAAGCTCTCAATGTGATGTTAGTGAGCCCAGAGTTGGGAAAAGATGTGCACAGCCAGCTCTGACGATCCAGTGCCAGCTAGCTCCAACACACTACTGCCCTTTCCCATGTGATATTTGCCTGTCTCTTCTTCCCACCTGTTCTTGCTCAAAGACAAAGCTGTTAAGTTGTGCAGACTGTGTACATTGTGCAACGCTAGTGTTGCCATTTTCATCACAGCCATCATTGTTATATATAATTTAATATGATAATTTTCCTCTAGAAAAGCATGTAGAGCAAAGGAGGCCTTTTCCTAATTTGCACAAAACCACCATTTCAGTTGATTTTCATGCTGCTCAAAGACCACACACTGGAAGTCACAAGCAAGACTCAGCCACAGATATCTTCTCTTTAACTTACATTGAGTTTTTAAAAATATTTTTTTTAACTAACTTGCCACCATTTAAAAAATCAGCAGACCAAAATCCAAATTACTAAATTATCCAGGAAAAATCAAAGCAAGCTGCACTACGTTGAAAGCAATAACATAAGGAAAGTACCTATGCCTAGATCCAGGTATCAGAATCCTTCAAAAGATATCAGGATCCTTCAGCCCATTCTGGCTAATGTTTTGTACTCACCTTTTTTATCATGATATCCTGGAAGCTAAGTCATCTGGACTCCTTCTTTCTCTGTGACTCCTCCCTTATCTTCTGTCAGTTTCTAGAATAACCTTTGCATCTCAGGGCTTTGCACTTGCCCATCTTCTTCCTGAAACACTGCGCCTTCCACCCCCTTCACTGGTCCAACTCCCACTCATCCTTCCATTTTGGTTTAGCCATCATCTCCACCATCAGCTTTCAACAAGACTCCCAAATACTTCCAACTCATGCCATGCTCCATGGAGCAGCCAGAGTGATCTTTTGAAAACATAAATCGGATCATAGCACAGCACAATTGTAATAAAATGCAAGGTCCTTCTGCTGGCCCTTAAAGAATGATGTGCTTTGGACGCTCTCCCCATCTCTCAATCACACTGTTTCCTTGTTTCCTTTACAAACACACCTCATGTGTGCCGGCCTTTGCTCTTGCCACTCCCTTTGCAGGAACACTCTTTCCCAGTCTTCTTAGAAGGTACAGAATGGCAACATTTAGATCTCAGCACAAACAACTGCACATCCTCAGAGCAGCCTTTTCTACCCACCCATGTAAAACAGCAGCCCTCCCCGCTACCAGCCTCACTTCAGTGACTCTCCATCGCATCCCT